TGCTCCTGGACCTCAGCATTTCTCTGTGCCTCACAGATCCCTGCTCCCAACAGGCTGACTCTTCCTGTCTCCCCACTTCTTCCCCCTACACCATCTAATGTTGTTGTTGTTAGTTGTGATTATCCACCATTATCCATTGGTGTGCAATTTGGGTTGTTCCCAGCTGTAGGCTACTGTGAGCACTTGTGTGTGTACAAGTGTTTAAGTGGCTGTATGCTTTCATTTCTTTTGGGTATATACCTAGTAGTGAAACTTTTGGGTCATATGGTTGGTAAAGAAGAGGGTCACTGAAAAAGAAGAAGCCCCACCCAATAAGATGGATTGACACGCAGACTGCAGCAGTGTGCTCAAACATAGCAGTGATTGTAAGGATGGTACAAGCCTGGGCAGTATTTCGTTCTATTATGCGTTGGGTCGCTATGAGTTGCAACCAACTTAAAGCACCTGACAAAAACAACTCACTAATGGTAATTCTATATTCCATTTATTGAGAACCTCATAATCCTTAACTTATCAAGCCAAACTCACTGCATTGGAATACATGCTGACATACCGCAACCCCCTAGGACAGAGTTAAAACTGCCCAGTAGGGTTTCCAAGACTGTAAATCTTTACAGGAGTAGACAGCCTCGTCTGTTTCCCAAGTGTCAGATGGTGAGTTTGAACCACCAATATTTCGATTAGCAACCCAGTACTTGACCCATGGCACCACCAAGGCTCATATAACGCTTAATTAGAATTTGTTGTTGTTAAGTGCCACCAAGTTGGCTCTGACTTATAGCTGCCCTGTGCATAGCAGAACGAAACACTACCTGGTCCTGTGCCATCCTCACAAATGCTGCCGCCTCTGTGTCGATCCGTCTCATTTGGGGGAGCTTCCTCTTTTTCACTGACCCTCCACTTTACCAAGCATGATGTCCTTCTCCAGGGACTGGGCCTTCCTGTTAACATGTCTGATGTACGAGAGACAAAGTCTCACCATTCTGGATTCTAAGGAGCATTCTGGCTGTACTTCTGCCAACAGAGATCTGTTTGTTCTTCTGGTTTGTTCATGGGACTTTCTGTTTTCTTCTCTAACGCCATCATTCAAATGCATCGATTCTTCTACAGTCTTCCTTATTCATTGTCCAACTTTCACATTCATATTAGGTTATTGAAAAATACCATGGCTTGCGTCAGGCACACCTTAGTCCTCAAAGTGACATCTTTGCTCTTGATGACTTTAAAGAGGTTTTATGCAGCAGATTTGCCTAATGCAATAGATCGTTTGATTTCTCAACTGCTACTTCCATGAGTGTTGATGGTGATCCGAGCACAATGAAATCTTTGACAACTTCTCTCTTTTCTCCATTTATCTTGATGTTATTTATTCGTCTAGTTATGAGGACTTCTGTTTTCTTTGCCTTGAGTTGTAATCTGTACGGAAGGCTGTGGTGGTGGCTGTGTGCCGTAGAGTCGGTTCCTACTCATAACGACCCTGTACAGGGTTCAAGTCCTCTTTACTTCCAGAAAGCAAGGTTGAATCATCTGCATTGTTAAATGAACCGGGTCCAAGACAGAGTGTTTAGGTCCAGTTCCCTGGTATCTTCCTCCCCTGCCCTCCCAACAGTCCTCAGAAGCCTCTTCTTTTCCTGGGCTCACAGTGCCCCCAGCATCTCTCACTGGCATGCTGAGTACCTGATCCCTCCCCGGGTAACTCTCTCCTGGGGCGTGGCCAAGCACAGACCCTAGGGTTTTCATTGGCTGATTTTCAGAAGTGGCTCACCAGACCTTTCTTCCTACTCTTAAGTCTAGATGCTCTTCTGAAACCGGTTTAGTATGACAGCAACACCCAAGGTTCCATGGACAGACAGGTGTGCAGTGGTTCCACATGAGGTGCAGTGACTTGGATCAAACCTGGGTCTCCTGAATGGAAGACGAGAATCCTACCACCAAAATACCAGACGCCCCTCCTAGCCTATTGCCACTCTCGTTTTCTCCCCTGTGTCTCCACCAGTAAAGTATGAGGGGGCTTCAGAAACTTCATGGGAAAATTCCATTGTCTTTTCATTCCATTTTTCCCTGAAGCTTTTAAAGGCCCCTCAGAGGAGCTTCTGAAAGAGAGGAACGTGTTTACCCATCTTACTTCTCCCTGTGTCTGAGTGACGCGGTGCCTGGCCTAGCAGAGACACTCAGTTCACTTTTGTTGGAATTAGTGGGCACAAGAGTGAATGAATGGCATGAACCCACCTGATTGGTTGAAGTCTATTGTGCTGAGAGTTCATATCTGGTGGAGATCAGAGTCCATTAGAAGAAGGTCAGTTTGGACCGCAGGCCACTTAAATGCCACCATGATATACAAGTATTTTTCAATGTGACATTTTTCTAATTGAAAGTGTGGGCATGTGACCCTCACTTGCAGAGCATTCAAATGTTAATATGCAACTTCTCCAGGATTTATATTTTCAGAAGCCTGCTTAGTGGAAATTGAGTTGTGGGGAGTCTTAAGCACTCCCATTTGTGGCAAATGGTTTTAAGTGAGTGATGGGAATTAATCTTTCTACATAGTTACCATGGTGCTAAATTAACAGGCTTGGAGTGACTTGGATATTCTAGAATCGATTTTTTTTTTTTTAATCCTTTGATTTATCAAGAAAAGAGTAATTCTCGGTTAATTTCTGGCCACAGTTTCCGAACCCACACTTTTCTCAATAAAATTTTCTCTGGTGAAAAAGCAACACAATGAATTCTTGGAACGAGATCCTTCCTACCTGTCAAGCCCCCCACCTACTACAGGTGTTGTTGTCATCAAGTTGGGTCCAACTCATAACGACCCATAACAACTGATGCACAACCGAAGGAAGCACTGCCCAGGCCTCCAACATTCACACAGTTGTGTTTGAGCCTGGTGTTGATACCACTGTATAAGTCTTCTTTCTCGTGGACCCTCCACTTTGCCAAGCATGATGTCCTTCTCCGGAGACTGATCCCTCTTTACAACATGCCCGAAGTACTACAGACAAATTAAGGGATATTCTGGCTCTACTTCTTCCAAAACAGATTTTTCGTTTTCTTCTGACAGACCATGGTACTTTCAGTATTATTCACCAGCACCATAATTTCAATGCATGTATTTTCTACGGACTTCCTTATTCATTGTCCAATTTTTATGTGCATGAGGTGATTGAAAATACTATGGTTTGAATGAGGTGTATCTTAGTCCTTAAAGTGACATCTTTGCTCTGAATCTTAAAGTCATCTGTTGGCAATAGGTTTGTCTAATGCAACATGTCACTTGATTTCTTAACTGCTGCTTCAATGAGTGTTGACTATGGATCCAAGAAAATGAAGTCGTTGACAACTTCCATCTCTTCTCTGTTTGTTATGATGTTATTTGTTGGTTCGGTTGTGAGTATTTTTGTTTTCTTGACACTGAGGAGCCATCTATACTGAGTTAGGGGCTTTATTATTGTTGTGAGATGCTATCCAGTATTTTCCAAATCATAACAAGTCCATGTCCAACAGAACAAAGCACTGCCCAGTCCTGGTCATCCTCACAATTCTTGTCATGTTTGAGGTCACTGCTGTTGCCACTGTGTCGATCCAGCTCATTGAGGGTCTTCCTCTTCTTCACCAGCCCTCTATTTTCCAATCATGTCCTTCTCCAGGGACTGGTCCCTCCTGACAACATGTCCAAAGTATGTGACATGAAGTCTCGCCATCCTTCCTAAGAAAGCTCGGTCTGCCTTCCTTTACTTCTTCCAACAACAAGTAGCTGAGTTAAGTAACGTGTTATAATGAGGATAAAGGGTCCCTGGGTGGTGCTTAGCTACTACTAACGTCACGGTCAGCGGTTCAAACCCACCAGCCACTCCTTGGAAACCCTATACAGGCTCACTGAGTCAGAACGGACTGACAACCCTTAACCTGGAAGGCTGGCAGTTCAAGTCCTCTTAGAGGTATCACAGAAGAAAGTTCTAGCAATCTCCTTCCATAAAGATTACAGGCGAGAAACCCCCACTGAGTAGTTTTGCTCTGTAACACATGGGATGCCAGGAATTGGATCAATTCGATAACAAGGATTGGATAGCGAGTAAAAGGAATCAGTGAGCCGCTTAAACATTTACCCCACTCGGCCACTCACCTAAAGGTTGGGAATTCGAATCCACCCAAGAGGCACCTCAGAAGAAAGGCCTGGCTGTAGCAGCCATTGAAACCCCTATGGAGACCAGCTCTCCTCTGACACATGGGGTTGCCATGACTTGACATCACATCCAGATCAAATGTTTTTTTATCAAGTAAAAGCAGGAGGAAACAGATGCCAGCAATCCTGTTACTAAGGCCAAATGCCGTAACCTCTCCAAGCGTCGTTTTCTCGTTTGTGAAATGGGATTCCAACTCTACCCTGCTGGATGAGGGGTCGGATTGAGAGAGACAATGTGCCCACTCCCCAAAGTAGGCCCACTGATACTACAGTGGGTCCCCAGGATTCCCAGACCACCCTGGGTGGGAGCGGAGGCAGAATGTGTGGAAGCAGCTCGGGGACTCTGTTAGGGAGGTTTCTGGGACTGCCTTGCTTATCAGAGACTGGAGACTGACCTTGAGGCCTCTCCCATCAGTTGGTCCCCTCTCTCTGTTTTTCCACCTGGAAAATAGGCATCATAAAGCTCTGGTAGCGTAGTGGTTACGAATCGGGCTGCGAACCTTAAGGTCAGCGGTTCGAAACTACCAGCCGCTCCACAGGAGAAAGATGAGGCTTTCTACTCCCGTAAAGATTTACACCCTCGGAAACCCTGTACAGGGTCGCTATGGGTCGGAACCGACTCGACAGCACTTAACAACAACAACAACAATGTGAACGAACCGGGCTCTGATCGATGTTGATATGCAGCAGTAAAGCAAAGGATTTGACATCAGGGCAGCGTTCCGGACTGTGTGGCGAGGTCGTGGTCTAAGCGCGGCTCTGCTTTCTTGCAGGTTGACGGCGTGTGACAGGGTCTGTGTCCAGCAGGATTGCAACCATGGCATCGAGGCTGCTCAGCCAACAGCTGGCCGGCAGCCTGAAGCTCACCTACCGCCTACTCACGCCTGGTAAGTGGCGGGTCATGGCCAGCACCAAGCCCGGGCTGGAGAGGGGAACCAGGCCCCAGATCCTGCCTGGAAGGTGCGCTGTCTGTGCAGTGGGCACCTGACCTCCGTAGGAAAGGTGATGATGTGTGCTCCCCGGTGGTGGCCTCAGCAGCTAGAAGAGCCAGGCTGACCCTGGAGGGACTGTAGGAGGACAGGTGGCTGGGCTTGCTGACAACAAAGGAACCTTGATGGTGGATGGCCTTTGCATTTGGCTGGGAGTGTGCTGAAGGGGTGTCAGACAAGAGGCACCCTCCCAGAAATGGACCCCCCACCCCTGCCCAAGGCCTTCTCCTCTCCTCCACATCCCCATGCCCCAGGTACCCTTCTCCTCACCTCTGCACTCCCATACCCCTGGCTGCCCTTCTCCTCACCTCTGCACCCCCATACCCCCGGCCGCCCTTCTTCTCACCTCTGCACCCCCATACCCTCAAGCTGCCGGCACCAACTCCTCCGGCCGCTGCTATCCTCAGCTCCTTCCTCTCTGCTCTGCCTCCAAGGGCTTTGCCGGAATTCAGGCACCTTAACTTCCTGAGCTGATCAGCCAGCAAGCCCTGCCCAAGCCTCCCTGATAACACCCTCCTTATGTACTGTCATTAATGCCTCCCTCTCAGTGGTCCTCACTTTACAGGTGAGGAAACTGAGGCTCAGAGAAACAGATATTCATATGGAGGAACCTCTTGAGAGCAAGTCTATCTGGCCCCTAATGCTGAGTGCGAAACCCTCCTCGTCCTTCTGCAGGTCTGGGAGACAGAGACTGTTGACAGTCCCCTCCCTAGCACACCGAGACGTGGCAGCCGGGCAGAACCGTGGGCTCCAGAGCTCCCGAGCTTGTCACTGTGGTGTCCTCCCATGGTTGCCGTCCTGCCTGCAGTGTGGAACTGCTACCGTGCCTTTAACGTGCAAGTTAGAACGGTGGTTTGCACATCCTGGGTGGGCTGAAGAGCGGGAATGTTCACATTAACACTGATAGCAGGAGCATTAGTGCTTCCTCTCAGGAGGGGGAAAAAGAACGAAAGTATTAGCGTTAGTATTAATACGAGGAGTATTAGCATAAGTATTAATAGCAGGAGTATTAACACTCCCTACCAGAAGTCCCACTGTGGAGTCCTAGGGTGGTGCTATGGCACAAAGCACTGCCCCGCAAGGTTCAAACTCATCAGCCGCTCCTTGAAAACTTTATACAGGGTTGCTATGAGTCAGAACCTACCTGAAGGCACTTAACAACAACAATAACAACCAGGAGTGGGATAAAGAGCAGGAGT